TTTTTTTAACTGATCCACCCATAATACCAGTTCCAGTGTTATCAAAAATCGAATTTCCCAGAGGAACCCACCCGAGGGATTAATAAAGTTCTATCTTATCTTATCTTATCTTAAAAAGGAAAGGTTTAAGCCTGGTCTTAATAGTAGAGAGAGTATCTGTCTCCTGAATCTAAACTGGGGAGCTGGTTCCACATAAGAAAAGCCTGGAACCTAAAAGCTCTCCCTCCCAGTCTACTTTTAAATAATGTTGTCAGGAGAAGGATTTTACATTTGATTCTGCATTTAATGGGGAGCCAATAAAGAGAAGCTAATATGGGAGAAATATGGTCTCTTGTTCTAGTCCCTTTCAGTACTCACACCTCAGCACTCTGGATCAGCTGAAGGCTTTTTAGGAAGCTTTTAAAACAGCCTGTAACGAATTACAATAGTACAGCATAGAAGTAATACACGCTTTAACTACTAACTACTAATCTCAAACTACCAGGAACTGCAGTAATAAAATGGAAATTCACATTTTAATTTGATGGGCCAACCCCACATTTTTCCCTTGTCACCACTTGTTGACAAGAGACCGCAGCCAGTTTCTAAGCCTGTTTGACTGGGGTTTTGCATAGCTTAGTCGCTAGAGCGTTAAGTCTCAGCGATGACGAGCAACACAACCTGAGAAGTTAAACAAGTTTGTGTGCCACAGTGACTCGTATTTCACACAGCTAACTCAGCTATCAGAGGAGACTTGGCCCTCACTTCGGTCAGACAAAATGATCAGGTAATCATTGACTTTTCTGTCATATGCCATTTGTATAAAGACAATAATGTGCTTTAACCTCCTAGGACCTGGCGTTCACATATGTGGACATCACATTTTGGGTTATTTAGACCAAAATACTGAATTTTGCTTTGCTTTAGGAGGTTAATTTTGTTACAACTTGTATTGGTTTAGACAAGATAAGCTGAGATGATGTTTGAATGAGAACTTTTCTGTCATTCTAAGAAGTCCTGAAAAAGATTCTTAGCTTTCAAATACACTATCACTGAGAGACTCTATTCCTTTACAAGTTAACTATAAGAGGAAATAAAGATAAGTTATAAGTCAAACAATTCTAGCATTAAAGCTAGAATGATATAATACTAACGTTGCGTGTGTGTGTGTGTGTGGGGGGGGGGTTCTGTAGCATTATGATTTATTATTCATTGAATTTGTATTTTATCACAGTTAATAGTTCGCTAGAAAACTTACTGTTTCGCAGACGTTTAGGAAATAACAGTAGAGAAAACAGGATGATCTACTTCTTCTAGCGTTTCAGTGAAATGGAAGATTGTTTCTAGTGACAATATCCATTTCAGTCTTTGTCACACCTGTTCAAGGTGAAGAGTTCAGGTTATGTTCAAAATGCTGACTTTAAGTACTTTGATTATATGGACATTTTGCATGCAATTTTGTTACATAAGTATAATGTCAAAAGTAAATTTATTAGAATATGATCAAATTAAATGTACTTGATTGGTATATATTCAGTTTATTCCGAACTAATTTTAATGATATATTATTTTAGTAAAAACACCTTTGATTTGATACATTTCAGTTGATGAAAGTTTTGTTGAGGGCAAAGAATCATGTTTTTGATTGTGAATTTTCTGTAGCTAGTTTTATTATGCTTGTTTCCTTTGTCTACACTGAAGTCAGCAGCAGAATTAGCACATTGTTTTTATTAACTGATTTGGTCAGCTTTTAGGACTTTTAAGCACTTTTACTTTTTAATATACTTCTGTCATTTATGGTGTAACCTAAGAATGGTTACATTTAGTTAGACACAGTTTTAAATGTTTTATTATATAATTACAGAATATCCGGAGCTTTTTGAAAAATGTCAAATAAAATAAAAAATGTTTAATCCGATATAAACCATGACTCCAAAATCTGAATTCCTCCAAAGAAGTTTCAATAAGAGATCAATCCTAAAATGTAACACAACAAAATGTACTGTTCCTATATCAGTTATATTAAGCTATTATTTTTTATTAACCTCCTTATCAAAGAGGACTGCAAGTAGTTGGGGAAATCAAAGATTGAGTCACTCTGACTGACTCCAAGCCCTCTAGGACAAATTTTTGTCATTTTTGCAAATAACAGCTGTGTAATTTAAAGGCAGAAATATTATCAACAAGCTGCAATCAATCCAAGTCAATCTGTGCCAGTGAGTGCAACTCCTCTGCAATACATCTCTTTGTAATAGTGGACTCGAGTCAGCTGGGCAGTAGCTGGTTAATTCTGGCTATACTCCTGTATAAAAGCAAGGTTGCCTGGTAGTTTGATAGTATGTCATCACTGGTAACATCAGTGATGTGCTTTTCAGAGGCCTACCTTCAAAGCGTCAAATCACAACAAAAGTTCCCTCAAGGTGCTTTACATTGTAAGGTAAAGACCTTACAATGTTACACAGAAAACAGAAAACCTCAAAATGAATATGACTCCCTACCAGTAGAGATTAATAATAACACATAATTAAATGCAGAGAGGTGTATAAACACATAGTGAGTGAAAAAGGTGACTGAAGAAGAAACATTTAATGCTTCATGGGATGTTCATCTCCCAGCAGCCTAGACCTAGTGCAGCGTAACTAAGGGAGGATTCAGGATCACCTGATCCAATCCTACCTATATGCTTCATCAAAAAGGAAAGTTTTAAGCCTAAACTTAAAAGCAGAGAGGGTGTCTGTCTTCCAAATCCAAACTAGAAACTGGTTCCACAGAACCAGCCTGAGAGCAAAAAGCCCTAATGGGGTGATACGGTACTATAAGGTCATTAAGTTAAGACGGGCCCTGATTATTCAAGAGCTTGTATGTGAGGAGTTGGATTTTCAATTCATTTCTGGTTCAACAGGGAGCCAAGTCAGAGAGACCACACTTCATTTTTAGTTAGTCATGCATTAGACATGGCCTATAGAAACTATGCTATGTATATACAATATGATATGTTTGTAGTACCTGAATGTCTTAAGGCGTTATTTATTGATACATACCTGATTGAAATTTCTGTTGAGTGACTATTTATTTATTTTTTTCACTGTTTCCAGGGCCGGCCACATCGAAATTGTTATGCTCTTAGGATCACTTCTCTCTATTGTTTTTTTTCTTCAATATTATAGCGACACTGAAATGTTCCGCTCACCAAAACTTGTAAAAATGTATAACAATTCCTATAAATACTCATTCCCAAAATGTGAACAAAACATGGCTGCTGCCAGAATCTCAGGCTTCGATGGTTTCCCTGATATACTTAAAGACTTTCTTTACTATCGTCACTGTCGCTATTTTCCCATGATTCTGGACCTTCCTGACAAATGCGGAGGCATCGAAGAACCTGAAGACATCTTCCTTCTGCTTGTAATTAAAAGCTCCCCCATGCATTATGAACGACGTGAAGTGCTGCGAAAAACCTGGGCTCAAGAGAGGTCATACAAAGGTTTGCGGATTCGAAGGATTTTCACCCTTGGAACAATGGGTAATAACTTTGAGAAAGAGCGATTGAACAAACTCCTCAAAACAGAGCACCAGGAACACAATGACATCCTCCAATGGGACTTTCAAGATACATTTTTTAATCTCACTTTAAAGCAGGTTCTATTCCTCAAATGGATGAAAAGGAACTGTCAACAAGTTAATTTTTTGCTAAATGGTGATGATGACGTTTTTGCCAATACGGACAATATTGTGGACTACCTCCATGGTCGCCGTGAAAATAATGGAAGCCAGCATCTGTTTACCGGTTTTCTGATAAAGAATGGATTTCCTGTAAGATGGGACAGGAGCAAGTATTTTGTTCCATCTCAAGTATATGAAAAAAATGTTTACCCCAACTATTGTGGTGGTGGGGGCTTTCTTTTGTCCAGCTTTACAGCTTTAATGATATATAGCTATTCCAATGCCATTCCACTTTTTCCTATTGATGACGTTTACATGGGAATGTGCCTGGAAAAAGCAAAACTGGCACCAACACCTCATATCGGTATAAAGACATTCGGATGGTACATTCCCTCCAAAAAAATAGATCAATATGATCCTTGCTATTTTAAAGATTACCTCTTGGTACACCAATTCTTTCCTAATAATATGTACCTTATGTGGCATCAAATAAATGACCCTAATCTGAAATGTGGTGTCACAAATTCGTCTAGGACGATCCAAACTTAAACTTACGGTTAGTGATATTGCACTTTATGACTTTAAGTCACAGCAATCATTGAATTATGTAAAAGTTTTAAACTGATATATCACGTTTGCCCATATAGACAGTCAGCCAGACAGCCACTGTTACATGAGTGACATAATCACAAACAGTACATAAAAGATTCAGTACTGATTTTATTTCTGATTTGTTTTTTTGTTTTGTTTTTTAACATGTGCGTTGTAAATAAATGTGAATTGAGTTGAGGTAAGTCTTCAGATTGGGAGGTAATCTCCAGCTTTTGAATATAGTCTAAGGGTCGAAAGTGTTTGTCATGTTTTCATATGTTGCAGGTAATCCACAAACACAGTTATGTTCACTGCGAGTAGACCAAATTCAAGAAAGTGGTTTGGTGCTCGGGGGCACTAGTATTTGAAGTATTCATCTGAAGTATTAATTAATTACTTTTCCTGCTTTAACTGTGACTAGGGATGCACTATTATTTAACCAGTAATGACATTTGATGTCAGAGTGAAAAAAATGCATTTATTGAAGGCAACTTGTGATTTTTATCTGTTTGTAATGTTAATGCAGTGTAGAATTGAAATGCTTTTTAGTTATTTGTTTGTAGTTGTTTTGTTTAAAGTAGGGGTTTGTTTGTTTCAATGGGGCAAAATGTTTGTTAATGAATAACAAACACGAAATAAAAAGGAGACTACTTGTCAACCAAAACGTGATTGTAAAGAGTGATCTGTTCATCCATTAATATGATATATTTAAGTGAATTTGGGTAGTTGTTGTGTAGATATGTATGCTAAGTTTGGTGTTGTGTTAGTTCAAATCCATATTAACCCATTCTAGCCTCAACAAGAAGTAAGGCTCAAAACTTAAATTACAGGTTTGACATCTACAGTATACGCATTTGCTTTGTAAATGAGCTCTCCTTTGAGGAAAAAAAACATATCAGTTACCAATGGTCCCAGCTTAACAGAGTTTAAATAAAGTTAATCCCTGGGTTAGCTCGTTCTCATCTAACATTCAAACATGAAAACATCACTTTTTCTGCACTTTAGATTGTTAGGTGAACAATGAAAAGCAAAAAATCACTTGGGAAACAGGGCACCACAGTTAGTCTGCATGCCATATACACAATTAAAAGATTAAATATATATGTGTGTAAAAAATATAGCTGCAAATCCCTGACTACTACTTTTGCTACGTCTATTTAGACGATGGCGCTGCTTAGGGTGCAGCCCAAGTCTTAGGATCCTCATCCAGCTGGCTGTCACGTATATGTGATTTCAGTTTGTTTGTGTTTTTAAGCCTCAGTGCATGCTGTCGGCTCTGTCAGACGTCAGACACAGTGACACTGTATTTTACAGGCAAAAATAAAATACTGGTGTTTTTCAGGCACGACAGTACAGCACTAAGCAAAAGCTTGCAAGAAGACTATTTATTACTTTAAACATTTTTTAAAACACAATTACTTTAGTTTATTAAAATACCCAAATAAATCAAAGCATCTGATATTTTTTTAAATGACCTGATATTAAATCACTGTTGTCAAGTATATACAAAATCAAATATAATAGGTTGTATCTACATTTCAATCAAAGCCATGTGGTGACAAAAAATACAACGCCTCAGATCACCACAGTCATAAAGAGACATCTTCTGGGTACCATGAATGTCTCTATTTAAAAAATTAAATTAAATTTAAAAATAAAATAAAAAAAGCACCAGGTCCGTTCAACAGCTGTTTGGTGAAAGTAATGGACCCTCAGAGCAACACTGGCGTCCACAGAGCTGCATAGCATGGGTTAAATTTCCACAGAGACAATACACAATAACTGCACTGGTGATCTACTTGAACAAGAACACAGAGAGAGAGTATACAACTTACATAGTGCTTCGAAGGATTCCTTCTTTTCTGCACGTCCACAACATTTACGTCAAGGAAGGTGCGGAACTGCATCTTGACAAGCGAACAAGATTTGCACCAAACACAATACTACAGTTTGCACCAACGATGTTCACCCATGAAAACTAGGTTGCTTGTAGTAGAAGCGCAAGAAGAAGAAGAAAGAGTTGAGAGGAATGAAAAGAAATAACTTTCCTCTTTCAGGCTTTGGGTGCATCCATGAAATTACAGTGTCAGACGGCCTCGGAGCATCTGGACTCCTTGTAAAACATGACAACGCAATAAAACTGGCGTCTAATCAGACTTCTCCTCCTTCGGGAGGGGCTGCGCCGCTGCTGTTGCCAAAAAACGGGGGGCAGTCTGAGCAGTACAGCGATTTAATATGTAGGCTATGGGGCGGTCCTGCTTCAGCTGGCTGGACACACCACACGGGACCAGGGAGGTCACACTGTTTTCAAACAGGTTCTTGGATTTGTTGGTCATCCCTAAAGTGACTGATAGTTTGGGTGAAATGTGAATAGTGAAAAGACATATTTCCTCTCCATAAATGGGCGATGGGCTGAACTGCTGTATAAGATGAAACATCTGTAGTTTTTTTTAATGATTTTGAAACGCTTTTTTGCAACAATAAACGTCCCCGACATGTGCTGTCTCTTAACTTCAAGAAAACAGTCCGTGTGTCTGAGCAGGCACGGACATTGACCGTGTTCGCTACTTGCAAACAAACAGGCAATTTGTCTAGTTGGCTGACGCGTATATACTTGTCTAATTTGGCTATCGCTTCCAAGTTATACATTAGATTTCCGACAGCACCTAAAGCAGCAGGCATACCGTTGCTCCCTCCTTGTGGAGACACGAGGTAAAGCGTGAGGAGGAGGTAAAGAGAACAATTCATTATTATTCCCACATTGTGGCGCTGCAGAACATAAGTGGTCTGTTTGCGTTGTCCTCCTGTCTAGATAAATTTCCTTCCTGTTTGTGCCCTATCCTATAATAAATCTTTCCTTATAATTTATGACAGGTATACTGTTTATAACATCTAGTAACATAGTAACATACAAAAAAACACAGACATAGATATTTTTGCACCACTTTTTAAAACTGAGTCATGCTGGAACATTTCTCAGTCTGCTCCACAGCTTCATTCCACATACAGTAATTCAAAACCTTTTTTGTGTCGTCCTAATATGCTGCTTTAAAAACAACAACAACAACAACAACAACAATAATAATAATAATAATAAACAGTTTTAAAACTACTTATTTTTACTTTGCACATTTCTGAAGTGACCATATTTAGTAACGCCTTTACATTCCCTCTAGAACAAAAAGGTTTTGTGTCATATGCGAATATTGCTAATGTTGACATATCAGATGTGTGTAACGTAATTTCTATAAATAATGACATTTGTATTCTTAATAGGCTCCCAACATAGACTGAAGTATATTATTTGAATGTTTTGCTCACTGTAGGCAAGTGAAATATTATAATTTTTTGGCTGTTATCAAATTCAGATTAGAGATGAATACTCTGCTATATATTTTAGGCTGTACCACAGCATTATTTCTAATGTAAGTATCAACCAGTTAAAATGCTTTTTTCGGGTTAACTGGTAACTCTATAAAAGTAGTCCACTTTTAATTTTACTGTAGTTTTTACTGTTTAGCTGTTAAAACCAGTGAGAAGTAAAAAAGTGAAAGACAATTTTATTTTACAGTGAAATCCAAAGATGAGTTGTGATGCACTGAGTTTTGTTGCTAAATGTGAAAACTAATGACTAATAAACTAATTAAACAAATATTACCAGGTATTCACAAAATGAAAAATAATAGAATTAGAATAGAATAGAATTCAACTTTATTGTCATTGCTCATGCACAGGTACAGGGCAACGAAATGCAGTTTGCATCCATCCAGAAGTGCTTTAGTGATATAGATATATTACAATATATACTAGCAATAATATAGATATGTAAGTATATTACAGAAATGGGTCAATTATGGTATGTTATAATGTACACGGTATGAAGTATGTTGTGAATAGTATGTACAGGCTGTAGTGAGTACAACTATGTACAAGATATGAACAGGATATAAATATGAAAAACTATACAGAATATGAAATAAATAACTTTACAGAAATCTGAGATATACAGTTATACAGAAATGGGAACTATGCAAGTTGTAAACAGTTGTAGGGTTAAAAATAAATAAATAAATAAATATTTTTAAAGAAAAAAAAGGGGGGGGGGAAGAATTCTACCATTTTCTCCTCTTTATGCCAACAGGAGGACCACAACTGGCATGCGTGGTAGAGGCGAGGGGGCTGAGCCCGGCTGAGCGGAGCACGTCCTGCTGGGGAGGAAATAGCCGCTACCCAGCTGCGTCAAGCTAACTAGAAATAGACCTGCTGACAGCGGAAATCTATTTTTATCCTCCGACGTAAAAGCGTCCACTCTGTTGTTTTGCTCAAGTCGGACAATACAACCAGTCTGTTTCTCGTACTCCAAAGTGAACCAGTGAAGCGGACCGGTTCGGTAAAATCACGTTGATACTGCGTTTACGCCACCTATCGTACATTGAAACGCCTAACCATCGAGGTTTAAATTCGGTCTTGTCACGCAGTACCGTCACACAATGTATTACTATAAAATGTGATTATAATCATATATATTCTATCGTAATATACTTATATTTGATCTAACGTGAATAATTTCTGTAAATTATAATTGGTTGTTTATTTAGATGCGGAAAATATAGTGTACAAAGCCACAGCAAAAATACATCTTAGCTCAGAAAGGCAGATGTAATATGACATCCATGACCACCTAACTCCAAACGCTATAGACCCTTGTATAGTTATGACGTAGGCAGTCGAAGGTCTATTATAGATTTTCTTTTTGTCTTATAAGTTTAATATGTGAGGGTTTTTTTAAAACCCTTTATTGTATTAGTCAACTAAGCTTTTCACCTGGCAGCCATTTTGGTCATTCCTACGGGAAGTTATTCTGGCAGTTATTTTGAAGCATCATCTAAATCAAATGGTATTTTTATTTTAGTAGTCAGTGGGACAGAAAAACTTTTAATGTGTAGTAGTTTTTTTTATGTCATTTAAAAGCTATGCTAACTGTATCACAAAACAAGTTTAGAAGTTTGTGGTTTTTTAACTTTTTTCTGACATCAATAACTAAAACAAAATATCGCTACCATTTTTTTGACGAAATTGAAAAAATAAAGCGAAATAATGTAAATAAAAAGGTCTGCGTAACAGTTGCGTTTTATTTTGAAAGACTTTAGCGGAAATATCGAGAGCTGCGATAGCAGCTTGATGCTAGTCCACTAACTTGTGTGTGGTCAGTCAACCTAAGCATGAGGTCCGTTGACTGCGTTTTCGTGTTGGTAACGTTATACGATTAAAGAAAATATTCTGTCGAAAGTGATGATATGGTAAATATTTTTTCCGCTTCGTTCAATTTTGTTAGCTCAAAACGGAAACACGAGCCTCTGCGGAACAGCTAACTCTTCTCTGTATCCCTCATCTCCTCCGACAGCGTCCTGTGAAGGCTGCTAGCTATGATGTGACTGTGATATCCGCCGTCGAGGGAAGTTATAATTGACATTATCATAGCTGAATGGCTAAAGCACCGGTCTGCCTGGCTTAATTTAACGCTTGAATGCTCTCATTTCGATAGCCTTTTGAGCTCCGCGTCGGAGGGAACCGCTATAGTTTCTTGGCGGAAATAACCGAAGAGAGCGTACTCGCGGTGCTGTAGTTCACACCTAAAAAAGATGTCCTTCTTCAATTTTCGCAAGATCTTCAAACTAGGGCCGGATAAGAAAAAGAAGCAGTATGAGCATGTACACAGAGACGTCAATCCTGAGGAGATATGGGAAATTATTGGGGAACTGGGAGATGGAGCCTTTGGGAAAGTGTACAAGGTAAGTTGACGTGTTACGTTACATCCGCCTTTGGTTTCCTGCATTTCTTTATAGACTAGCTTCAGTTGTTTCTTCGCATGTTGCTGTCTCGAGGTCATAAGCTGTAAAGCTGACAGCGATGATTACAGCTCTTGTTTGGGTAACATATTCCAACCTCGGCCACCTAACCCTCAGCAAATAACATATTTGTTTCATATAAATCATGCAGGAATTGACTAACTGCTAATATCCTGTAAAGAAATGTGACCAGCAGCTGGGATCTTAAACTCAATTAGTTTTTGGATATTTTCTATTTAGCAGGTTTAGCACAGGCTTTGCGTCACTGCCGGAGTATAGACATGACTTTACCAGTGAGTTGCACTTGGGGTTGGCTAAAAACTGATAAAGGTGTGGTCCACACACAGAATCAATATGGCCTCACATGTGACATGTTGGATTATTTGGGCCTGTGACATGTCAGGACAACCACAATAAATAGTTTAAACTAATAAAATGACAGAGCAGGTGCACCCAGACTTTTAAAAAAACACACACACTTTATGCTAATTACTGTGACAGGTGCACAGCTGGGTTTAAATTAGGGCAGTGGTTTGTCACATCTGGTTTGTCTTCACTAACCCATATATATAGGAACTGTTACAACAATTTGATGACATAGAAGAGTACCTGTTTATTATTTTGTTTAGGTTTGTTTTCCTGCTGAGAAAGTCAGGTATGCCTTCCAATGTTGTAGTTTGTTGGTGTATAGTTATGCTACATGGAAAAATATTCAATGCTGTGTCCTCCAGCTGTAATCTCTGCTACTTTACTTACCTTTCCAGGTTATCTCTGCAGGAGTTTGCTCTAGGCTGAGAACACACTTTAGAAAAAGTTAGTGTTTGTGTACTTGTAGCACAAGTAGATTAACTTGGTTAACTTGTATTTTTTTAAACATAGTTTCTTTTAAATATTTTTCAATGTATATAACTGTTTTAGTAGATTAGTGAAAAATAGTTTCCACAACCTTCCATGCCTTCATGCCTCTTTTTGTTTTGGCACTAATCCCTGTTAAAGAGCTTTCTTTCTCTCTCTCTCTCTCTCTCATTGTGAGCTACTTAACGCTGTTCCTTCCTGGTGCTCTTGTGTTCAAATAATGCAGCAAATGGCCCATAAATCTTAATTTGTCTTCACTTATTTCCTAGTCTTGTTAGCTGATTGGCTACACGAGATGAGAGCCAAGAAATACTTGAGTGCCTTCTCACACCAAAGTATACAAAATATACACCTGATTCCCAGTTATCACTTGTGTGAGCTCAGGTGAAGATATCTTTAATCAGGCCACATTAGTATGAAAGCGCACTGTGCTTTCATTTGCTACTTCACAGGCTTCTGGCAGCTAACTCCTTTGGGTGGGGTCGCAGAGTTTGCAAGCAACATGTGAATCAGCTGTTCAAGTGAGGTCAACCGGAAGAGAGAGAATTCTTAACTAGTAGATGAATGTATTACATGTTGAGTGTTTCATAGACACTTTTAGTACTGCAAACAAAATGCTTATATAATTCTTTCCATGCAATGAGTCATTTTTAAAAAATCTGATCTACCTATTCAAAGATAGACCTCTACAGGTGGTGCGATATGGGAGTTTTCATTTATCAGCTATTTATTCACATTCAAGGTTGGGTTTTTTCTGGCTCAGAATGGGCCTTCAGGGTGTTACTATACACGTAAGCATGATGGTCTGCAAACAAAAAGTCTATGTTACCTTATTTAACAGAGGTACATACATTTTTACTGTTACCGTTTTTGGCTGTTTTACAAACATAAATATATTTAAGCTTGAGTAAATTAAACTCCAGAGTTCAGATGAATTTTTTCTGACAGACGGAAATGTATTTATTTATTTAATGAAGTAAAAACTCTGCGTTCATTGATGTACATTTGAATAACCAGTGCTGAACTGTCAATGATTATTATTTACAAAGAACCACAAAGTTCGCTCTCCCTCCCTCTTAAACATGATTATAGCACTCCTGTGCTCTCATTTAATTCCTCAAAACAGATCAACATTAAGCATTTAGCACATTAAAACATCATGTTCATGATGAGCAAAGGTCACAGGCTCTTCTTTAATGAGTCAAGTGACAGACAAATTATGGTGTCTCTCTTCACTGTAAAGCTAATATTGAATCTGCATGTAAGCGATGGCCTGCGCCTGACAGGCATCAGCCACTACAAAGGAAAAAAGAGGCAGGGAGTGTGTCAGGTCAGAAGAGTGTAAATATAGGGTCTGACACACTCTGCTGCAGTTGGTCTTTACACTCCCTCCCTTTTCTTTTTCCCTAACTCCCTGAGATTGTGTCTGTATCCATAAACATTAGGCCCTAGGCTGGCCTTAAAATAACTTCCCAGTGCTTTATTTCACAGGTTCAGTGATCATTTTTATTGGTCTCCTCGGTGCAGCTCTATCAGGAATGAGAATTTAGGGTTTGAGTTGTGCAATAAATGGCACAAACCTGTTAAATCATATACATATTTGGTATAATAATCACTGCAATGAGTGTGACACAGTGAGATGAAAGAAAGAAAAGAGGGGAGGAAAAGGAGTGGAGGAAGTGAGCAAGCGTTGCAAGATCGGCCTGTGTTAGAGTAGCTCAGAATGACAGGATGTGTTGTAATTTTTTTTCTTTTTTTTATCAATGTTTGACAAAGAGTTGTCTTAAATCTCTGAAATGAGTTTCTTGAGATACAATCTTCTGTAAGCTGCGTAATTTATGTTGCTCCAAATGACTTTTTTCTTAATGTTGATATTCTTCCATAATTCCTGTTGTGTACAAGTTACAAGTTGTTGCTCTGTAAAATTATGCTGAGCAACATTTGGCTTATAATTAGCATGATCCTTTCCCATTTTATACACTGTGTGCTGTAAGTATATACTCTACAATTTATCATTTTGTCAATGTTGCTTGCAGGCACAGAACAAGCAGAATGGGACCCTGGCTGCTGCTAAGGTTATCGACACAAAGACTGAGGATGAACTGGAGGATTACATGGTTGAGATTGACATTCTGGCCTCCTGCAACCATCATCACATTGTCAAACTGCTGGACGCTTTCTACTTTGAAAGCAAACTTTGGGTAAGTTCGTCAGTTTCGTGCTGGGAGGAGTGTCTTTCTCCTCATGTAATGCTGTTTGATCTGAAGCCACCAAGACAAAGAAGCAGTGAAGCATGGAGAGACAGAAATTCATTATAAGGCACCATTCGTTATGCTGTTTCTCACAGGACTTTCAGATCATTTGACTGATGGCTCATGACACTAAACTTTTCTTATTTCTTCAAGAGTTAGAATGGGTCATATGACAAGCAACAGAGGCTAATACACGACTAGGACTGCATGCTTCACTGGAGTACCTGACTGCTTAGAAGTAATAGGCCACTACTGAGAAATGCATTATCATACTTTATACATCTTCCTATTTATAATGAGGGATTTATGTATTTAGTGGAATACTCCTCAATTTGGCCTTATTCCTATCTCCCTCAAATCATAACCAGTGTGCACAGTGTATTTTATAATGAGAAAGAATGTATAAATCTCTGAACACAGCCCCTCATCCTCATCCTGGTGTTTTACTGTGAGCACAGAGGTGCAGCTTTAATACATGGTCAGTAGATCTCATTGTGTGCAGTAAGAGGCCCCAGAGCAATTAGGTCCTAGCAGGGGGTGTCATGTGACTGTCCCTTGTGGACTGGCCACAACCATTGGAAGATAATGGAGCAGTTTTGGTGGCTGGAGAAAGTGCTTTTGAATAATTCAGAGCCGCATGCAGGTTGTCCCTCTGGCCTTTGAGTTCAAATAGCATGATGAATGTGTAACTGCCTACATTTAGCTTGTGCCGGGTGTTGAGTTAATGTATAATATGTTCATTAATTTTCTACAAAGGAAATCTGTTGCTAGAAAACAGATGTTTACTTTGACTTGTGTCTACAATCAGTGTACGTTTAGTTTAATACTCACCTGTAAACTACAAAAGAGATGGCATGAGAAAGTGTACTGCCAAATGGGAAGAACCACTTTGTTTCTTCCTTTTGTTTGAATCACTGAATAGAGGGTGGTGCTCTGTTTGTAGCTTCGATTGATTTTTGTATCATCTGATACCATGAGCTGCCAAGCAACGTGCAGGCTAAGCCAATAATGATGAAGTACTGGTCGGGTACATTACATCAGCTCTTACAACTGAGGTCAGAACCTGTGCAGTTTTACATCCTAGCATAGGGGATTAGCATTAGTTTTATTTCGTTACCTCTCTGGAACCCAAAGAATCACTGCACTTTATGAAAATTATTGCATATTTGATGAGGTTACTGATATTTCATCTTAAAATATCAGCTTAAAACTTGTAATTAAGTAGTTAACTGGCACCTTTTTATGTTGATATTTGTTGTTAAAATATCCCCTATAAAATTACACAGTTTTATATTTAAAAGCATCTCCCCTCTTTGTTTTTTCTTCCCTTGGGGAAATTTCTTCCAAGCTAGAAACGTCCAATTAAAGGACACTTGCACCCAACGTTTTAGTGTATTCCCAAGCTTTTAACATGCGCATATGTGCATACTGTTTTGAAACAAACAAAGATGGCAATAATGGATGTCTTCCTCTTACTGTTGACAGAAGCACAGTACTGTGAAGAAATGCTTTAGGCTTAAAGGGATTGTGACAGAAAACGTTTTTCAATATTGTTGTTTCTATAAAGTATAAGTGTATAAATTAGTACATATTTAGACTAATGACAAACCCTCATTTACATATTAAAACCTATAAACCTTTATTTATAAACATATAAGCAAATGTTAAACATTTTAGAAATATTGTATTAAAAAATAATATTCATAATGCAAGTTAAGTATTTTAAATAACATGTCTTCTTAACTGGCATAGTATGGAGAGACTCATGTTCACTTCCTTTAAGTATTGCCCCTTGTACATAAAAATGTGCAAAGGGATTTTCTTCAGTATTAATGCAGCGGTTTAGTTTAAAGCGTGCGTGCTCATCCTAAACATACATGTTCAAACTCTTCTGCAGTGTTTACCAAAATGAGGAAATCGTTTGTCACTAGGATCTGTGATGAAGCATACATAGTATGTGTAAAATATTTACATGCATTTTGCACTAAACATTTTTCTATACTTTTAAGAAACAATTTGTATTTTGTAGAAATTCCTATAATAGACTCATTCATCACAACCTCCTCTGTATAGTGGAAAAGGATCCCAGTCACTATCAAGTTCAAAGCTTGAACTTCTACAGATATTTCAGTTCAAGAAGGACTAAAAGACAGACGCATGTAGAATGGAAACCAAAAGACGTATAGCTCAGTATGGCTGATTGGCGTCTTGATCTCTACAGTATAATCAATCTTTTCAATAAACATCATGTTGTTCCAGCTTTTGAAAGTCGCAAATTCCTTATTTAATCAAGTCGTGTGCTGCAAGGGTAGGTTAAACTGGGACTTTATTGTATTATATAAGTGTATTACTTAATGTTCTTTTGTTCTACCATTACAGATTCTGATAGAGTTCTGTGCAGGCGGTGCTGTCGATGCCATCATGCTGGGTAAGTCCCTCATTCACTAAAGCAAAAAAAGAGTAACACTATGAAGTTCTGCAGCTTTTCCTTTTCTCCATCCTCTAGTGCCAACTCTTTTATTCCATCCAGAAGCCTGTACCGAAGGATTTTTTTTTTCCCCCCTCTACTAAGTTGGCAAAGCAATTCCAACTGTAATTATTGTAGCTCAGGTTTCAAGAAGCAGTTAAAGTACTTCTTGTTCATGCACTTCCTCTGTCTTGTTTTGAAGCCTAAAGAAACACAAAACCACTCATTTTAAAATGCAAATTGCATTGCAAAGAAGATGATAATGAATTCACTTCACTATTCAATGTTGATTCATTATGACTCGCCTAGATTTGTCTAGTCATATGTGCTTGCTGATGTAAAGGTGGAGATGACCCATTTTGTGTTTGTATTTGTGTATAACAAAGCCTACAGCAAAATATTCACTGGGAAAAATTGGGACTTTGGAATTTTCTCTGTGCATGTTTGTCCTTAGAGTTGGAGAGACCCCTGACTGAGCCCCAGATTCGTGTGGTGTGTAAGCAGACTTTGGAGGCCTTGGCTTACCTTCATGAGAGCAAGATCATCCACAGAGACTTGAAAGCTGGGAATATTCTCCTGTCCCTGGATGGAGATGTAAAACTGGGTAATTGTGTTTTTGTTTTTTTGTTTTTTTGAACCATTTCTAACCATTTACTAACAAAAGGAGATATGAGAGGTTATTCCATTAAAAAAATACTAAAATCAACTAAATGTTCTCGCAGAATCAGGTTTTTGTTTTGTATTTTTTACAATAAGCATGTTTAATAAAGTACATAGGTTTGGTTTGAATCTTTAAGTTCTGAAACCACATAACCTCTTAAGTACACGACTTACTTACTTGGGATGAATTTGTAACAAAACGGGGGGGTGTCTACTAAACTCACTTTAGTATTATATTCATTCTTTGATTTGTCCTTGGCTCTGTATTAAAACAGCCGTTGTAGATCTCTTTGTAGCTTGACTTTGGGGTTGGTGGTGACAGTGCAGCACTGTGGTTTGTTTACACATAAAAATGTAGTGAGTCATCATTTGGCATCGGGTTCAAAAACTTGGAGAACAAAGTGATGTGCTTGCTGTGTGTTTTTTTTTAATTTATTTATTTTTTTATATATAATATTCTACCTATGTATGTGTTTTGGTGATGCATAATGTTTCAGAAGTAAGAGTATTCATGTTCATGTTGTTGCTGCAGCATCCATAGCTCCTGGCTGCCTGATGATTCATGTTCTGTAGGCAGAGGGTCATGACGGAGCCTGGCAAACAATAATTATCAAGCCAGTCACCAGGGACTTAATGATAGATCTCTTTTTCCCTCTAATGTGTGCATACTGTAAGTGTTGCAAGAAAAGAGAGCAGGCTGAAATAACTGCACAGGTGACACAACAATGATGGACCCTAAGAGCATTATGAAAGGGAATGTGAGGCTTTTCTGCTCACTTTGGGGATAAATATTATAAGTGTAAAGCACTCTCTACTGTGTTTTGTTTTGGTAGAAAATGCTATTTTATATTTTATATTCTAGTCTCACAGGGTGCCATTTTACAGTTTAGCTTAATTCATTGATGAAAAGAATCATGATTTATTTCTACTTTCAGCTGACTTTGGTGTGTCTGCTAAAAATACCAAGACATTACAGAGAAGAGATTCTTTCATCGGCACTCCATATTGGTGAGTCACACTGCCTGCTTACAAGAGGGCATTCACCTCTTAGTATTTGATAATTGTCTCAGACTGTACCACAGCTAAGATGACAGTGGGTTTCTGTTTTTTTGTTGTTGTTGTTCTTGTTTTAAATCATCAAAAAATGTGGGATAACAACTCATTTGAAAAAATCTATGTACTAAAAAAACTTCCTATTTTATATTCCTTTCCTCCTGGAAAATAAGAGCATTGACCCTTAAGCAATAGAAGAAATGCTGAATGACCTCATTTACCTGCATTCCAAAATGTGGGTTATTGATTGGTGGCTCTTACTGACTGATTGAATTTCGCAGGATGGCTCCAGAGGTGGTAATGTGCGAAACTTCCAAAGACCGTCCATACGACTACAAGGCTGACATCTGGTCCCTTGGCGTAACGCTCATAGAACTGGCACAGATTGAACCGCCCAACCATGAGATGAATCCCATGAGAGTGCTACTGAAAATAGCCAAGTCCGAGCCGCCCACACTCATGAATCCCTCTCGCTGGTGAGATACTGTGCTGGTGATAACTGGGAAGGTGGTGCTGGATTGTTTCCGAATGGGAGATGAGGAAATGTTGAGGGTTTGCATGTGTGAAAGCATGATAAAATATTAATGTTAAAAGGATAACTACTACTGAATTACTACATTATATAAAGAAAAACCCAGGGGTACTTACTCTGTTCTGGGATCAACAAATTCGGTCTTCTTTACCATTTAAAGGTCACCAGAATTCAGCGACTTTCTGCGCAAAGCACTTGACAAGAATGTGGACAATAGGTGGAGTACAGTACAGCTTCTGCAGGTGAGCTGCAGTTGCAAACTACTATAAAACTAAGTGATGCATAAATGTCCGTCAGATGTTAATGTGTCACACTTTAAATGATTTTGCAGGATAAAATTTTTTATCTAATGTTGATATCTTTTGTCTATATATGTAGCATCCTTTTGTCACCAGTGTAACTGACAGCAGACCTCTCAGAGAACTCATAGCTGAAGC